ATGATAGTGGACTGAACCTCAAACAGTGAGTCCCTCAAATGAAATGTTTTCTTTTATAATTGTTACTGTGAACACGATGTTTTTCACAGCAATAGAAATTCTAAGACAATGACTTTTCTCATTGCTTATATCCAAGGTGAACCAAAATATCATTGGCTTTGAATGGTCTGACCCAGGTGGGTCCAACAATAGAAAATTGACCTGGAAATGGCTGCCACAAGGATTCCAGAACTCATCAACTTTGATAAAGCCTCGAGGAGAGACCTGCTCCTCTTTCAGGAGGAGAACAGAGAAGTGAAATTATTGCAATATGTTGAAGATCTACTTCTCACAGCAGATACTTTGGAAGAATGTAGACAAGCCTCAAAGGCTTTACTGGAGGAGCTCAACCTAGGAGTATAAAGCCTCTGCCAAGAAGGCTCAAATCTGTATTGTCGCTGTCATCTACCTAAGGTATAAAATACATGATGGCCAATGCTTGCTTGGTTCTGAACATAAGCAAACCTTCCTAATTATTTTTCTACCTACTAGCAGAAGGCAAGTCCAGCAGTTCCTGGGCACTGCCAGATGCTGTAGAGTCTGTATTACAGGGAATTCAGACTTTGCTAAACCACTCTATGCAGCTGAATTTTCCTGTTGGCCAGAGGAAGACTTAATTTTAGAACAAGGGAATCCACAGCTGATATGTAAAATTAAATTAAATTATAAAATTAAAAAAAATCTTTGTCCGATGCTCCTGCACTGGCTCTCCCAGATGTCTCGAAGCCCTTCAAATTGTTCATTCATGAATCAAATGGGACTTCCAAGGGATTCCTAACCATTCTAACCCAGATTTCAGGGCCCTGGAAGAGACCAGTGACATATTTATCTAAGAGAATTGACCCAGTTGCTTCAGGATGGCCTACTTGCTTAAGGGCCATAGCTGCCACTGCAATCCCAGTCAAAGCCACTTCAAAATTGACTTTGGGTCAAGAAATCCATGTTATCAGGCAACACCTGATGATGTCTTTGCTCATCTTATCACTGGACCAGTGTGTGTCAAATATGAGGATCACCCAGTATCAAATATTTTTGCTGGACTCTCCCAAGAGTAACATTCCAGAAGATAGAAGCCCTGAACCTGGCTACCTTTCTACCCAATGAGAGCTTGGGATCAGTCAAGTACTACTCCCTTGAGACTGTGCATACACTTACTGGGATTAGGTAGGACTTAAAGGATTGTCCTCTCCCAGAGGTAGGTTCTGAATTACAGATGGGAGTAGTTATATTGATGATGGAGTTAGATATTCTGGAGTTGTGGTGGTTACACCAAATCACATAATATAGGCACAAGCCTTGGACATGGTCATTGGCTCAAAAATCTGAACTCATAGCTCTAACACAAGCCATTGAATTGGCAACAGGAAAAATTATCAACACTTATACTAACAGCTGTTGTGTCTTTGCTATGGCCCACATGCTTGGGGTATTATATTGAGAGAGAGGACTTTTATCAAAGAGAAAGGACATTAAAATAAAGAAGAGATCCTGGCCATACTACAGGCCCCATGGCTGCCCAATGCATTATGTAGCTATAATTCTTTATTGCCAAAGGCACCAAAGGGATGGTTCCTCTCAAACTAAAGTAATGACTGCTGATTACACTACCCATAAGGTGTCAGAAGAAGGGAAAGTGTAATAAAAGTCCTGCCTCTATTACGATCCCATTTTCTTCCTTTGAAACCTTTTTGTTGTTGTTGTTTTGAGACAGGGTTTTTCTGTGCAGATTTGTGCCTTTCCTGGAACTCACTTTGGAGACCAGGCTGGCCTCAAACTAACAGAGATCCACCTGCCTCTGCCTCCAGAGTGCTGGGATTAAAGGCGTATGCCGCTGCCCCCGCCCCCCGCCCCCCCCCCACCTGGCTTCCATTGAAACCTTTTTGTACACAACAGAAGACAAAGTTAATAAGAGGTTTAAAAACAAAGAAAGACAAACATGGGTGGTCTGGATGGAGGATGGGAGAACTCTCCTACCCCAGCAAACAGCAGAACTTGGAAGCCTTGTGAATCTGGCTTTAGAGTCAAGGATAAAAGAAAAGCACTATAGTATCTTCCTCTGTGACTAAAGTAAGACACTGGGATCAGGCATGTGTCAGGGGTGTCCCTGAATAGAGGCTTAGAGAGGCCATTGTGCGAAGCTGTGAAGGTGAAGCCTGGATTGCCTTGGATACCCCAAGATATTGAAGATGACAAAGCCATAGGATGATACCTGACAAGGAGAATTGAAAACAGGGAGTGGAACCAGTTCAAGAGAAAGAAGTATGTTGCAGTCAACAAAGCTAAAAGGAGTTGGAGATCTGAAGAGCATCTTGGCATCACATATGACAATGCAGAGCTCGAAGTTTGACCTGATGCTTTTTTTGTCTTGCTTTGGTCCAGTATTTCCTCTCTATGCTCACTTCTCTACCTTTTAGAATGGTAATGCATACCATGTTCTATTATATGCTGGAAGTAAGTGATCTGCTCTTTTTAGTTTGATTATACAAGGGATTAGAATTAAGAGATTGCATGAATCTCAGAAGAGATTTTAAAAGTTAATACTTTTAAATTACTTTGAGACTGTATGACTACCGGGACTTTTGAAGTTGGGTGAACTAAGTAAGACAGCTCATATATTTGAATACTTGGTCCTCACTTGGTGGAACTATTTGGAAAAGCTTAGGAGGTTTGGCCTTGTTGGAGAAAGAGTGTCACTGGGGAAAGGCTTTGATGATTCTAAGACTCATGGTATTTCAGAGACCTCTGTTTCTCTCCTGCGGATCAAGCTGTGAACCCCCAGTTTCTGTTCCAGTCACCACCAAGACTTTACTAGGCAATCGTCTGCTCTAAGGCTCTCTAGGTGTAATCCCAATGAAATACGTTCTTTTTAAGATGCCTAGATTCTGATGTTTTGTCACAGCAATAGAAAAATTTGGAAAACTTGGTGGAGACTGAAGTTGGAATTTCTGTGTCTCTTAGAGAAATGAGCTAGCAGTCAGTGATAATATGCAACCTGATAGACCTGATAGATCCACTGTGATGATGTGTGTGCACGCGTGTGCGTGTGCGTGTGTGTGTGTGTGTGTGTGTGTGTGTGAGAGAGAGAGAGAGAGAGAGAGAGAGAGAGAGAGAGAGAGAGAGAGAGAGCTTTTAAGTGAGTATGTCTCACTTAGTCTAATTTCTCATTAAGTTTTACTGATGGGATCAGTTTATACAATTTTCAATGATGAACAGAGATGAAAGTTACGCAGTAATATCCTGAATTAGCTAAAAGCAGAGCTTGGAATATCTGTGCCTGAAGTGCACAGTCTTTTGGTGAGGATATGGTAATGTATTGTGTACCCTAATAAACTTGCCTGAGGATCAGAGAACAGAGCCTGCCACTAGATTAGACATACAGTTCAAGCAGTGTTGGCACACACCTTTAATCCATCACTCAAGTGTGGTGGTACTGTGTTCCCCAAAATATTGTGCACCCTAATAAACTTATCTGGGGTCACAGAACAGAACAGCCACAATATTAAACATAGAGGATAGGCAGTGGTAGCACGTGACTTTAATCCTAGCATTCTGAAGGCAGATATCCATCTGGATCTCTGTAAGTTCAAGGCCACCCTGGAAACAGCCAGGCATGGCGACTCACACCTTTAATCCCAGGGAGTGATGACAGAAAGCAGAAAGGTATATAAGGCGTGAAGACCAGAAACTAGAAGCTTTTGGCCTGGTTAAGCTTTCAGGCTTTGAGCAGCACAGTTCAGCTGAGAGGCATCCAGTCTGAGGAAACAGGATCACCTGTAGCTTGCGTTTTCCTGCCTGGCCCACAGTCAGGACAAATCTCTCTCACCTGCCAGTCCCACAGCCTCTCAGACCCAACCAAGTAAACACAGAGACTTACATGGGTTACAAACTGTATGGCCGTGGCAGGCTTCTTGCTAATTGTTCTTACAGCTTAAATTAATCCATTTCTATTAATCTATAAGTCTATACCTTGCCACATGGCTCGTGGCTTACTGGCATCTTCACATGCTGTTTCTCATCGTGGCGGCTGGCAGTGTCTCTCTGACTCAGCCTTCCACTTCCCAGCTTTATTCTCCTCCTTGTCCCGCCTACACTTCCTGCCTAGCCAATGGCCAATCAGTGTTTTATTTATTGACTAATCAGCAACACATTTGCCATACAGAACATCCCACAGCAATCACCTGAGGAATTGGCGAGGTGAGGAAGATGTGGCTTGTTCTGTCTCTCTGATCTTCCAGCGTTCACCCCAATACCCAGCCTGGATTTGTTTTTATTAATAAGACCTATTAAGGTTCCTGCAATACTTAAGAGGCAGAGATCTGTCTGAATTTCTGTGAGTTCAAGGCCACACTGGTCTACATGAGATTGATCCATTATAGGAGAGAAACCAAACCATAGAGTGGTGGCACACACAACTTTAATCCCAGCACTTCAGATAATACGGCAGGGTACAGAAAGGTATATAAGGTGTGAGGAAAAAGAAACTCTCTCTCTTTAGGCTGAGGACTTTGTAGCGGTAAGAATTAGTGGCTGGCTCTTCTGATTTTTTGATCCTCAGGCAAGTTTAGTAGGGTACACACTATATCACTGCATGAAGAGTTTCCAGACCTGCTTGAATTACGGTCTAAAGATCTTGGCTCTACCTTCCTCTTGGTTTCTCCGTAAGCATACATCTTGTAAACAATCTAATCAAGAGATCTGACCAAGGCTCTGCCTAGAATATAAAAAGACTGAGGAATGTCCATGAACTTTCTTATCACGTGGTTCCAGTGACCAAGGCAGGGTAATTTATGTCCTCATAGCTGTCAGTTTGCGTTTTGTTAACGGGGACTGCACCTCATATTTTTAAATTAGTACAAGAAGAACATCTAATGTTTTGAGGATGGTGGATCATTTCAGAACATTTAGAGAGAATGCTCATGAAACTGTAAAATAACAAAATGCAGACCAGACACCTAAGAGGATCATGTCTGCATTATCTCCTGGGCTGAATCTGTGTTCTGGGTGCTGTGCGACCCCTGCTGGCCCTGAGTGGCCTCACAATGAGGTATATGTCTGGATTCACACTGAGGTCCTCTCACTGTGTCTCTAGCACAGTAATAAGTGGCGGTGTCCTCAGATCTCACATTGTTCATTTGCAGGTACAAAGTGTTTTTGGCATTGTCTCTGAAGATGGTGAATTGGTCCTTCAGGGATAGTGCATACTTGATGGTACTGCTATCTCCATTAATTTCTCCAACCCACTCCAGCCCCTTTCCTGGAGCTTGGCGGACCCAATCCATCCAGTTATTACTAAAAGTAAATCCAGAGGCTGCACAGGAGAGTCTCAGGGACCCCCCAGGCTGCACCAGGCGACCCCCAAACTCCACAAGCTGCACCTCACACTGGACACCTGCAAACACAGAAAATCCTGTCAGTAAATTGCCATACAAGCTCAGTATCTGTGTCAATCATTTCCACTAACACACTCAGTATCTCTTCTTCTCTATAAATTACCTTCTAAAAGAGCAACAAGGAAAACCCAAATTAGCCCCAAATCCATGGTATGATCTGTGTTCAGTGTTGATCACTGAATGGGGAGACCTGGGATAGTGCTGATTTCCTTTGCCTGAGCATCAGTGTCAGTGCTTTGCTGGTTTTGTGGACAGGAGAGAGGCCTTATTTGCATGTCTTCTTGCTATATAACAAGCTCTTAGAACTTAGAGATGGCATGTTCTAATTTATTTGTAAAGGTGCTGCTGGAGTCTGGCAATAAAGAGAATGGTTGAAAAATGTTGCATCATAAGTTATTTTTCTTTGTTACATACTGTCATTTCTTTCATTTTATATTTGCAAACAAAATATGCCTTTTAGTATTAATTTCAACCCTAATCTCCATATCATGCATTACAGAAGGCAGTAGGCATTGTTTTGTTACATATTCTGGGAGCTCTTCTTCCTCACTGTGAGGGCTTCTGCCCTGATGGACATAACAATCGCCAAGTGCAGCTTCCTCCTAAGCCTGGAAACTTCCTTTCTGTGTTGAGATCATGATATGCCTACATTCCAGAGTTCAGCTAGGAAACTAGAGAGGCCTTGTCCGTGTGTGCGTGTGTGTGCGTGCGTGCGTGCGTGCGTGTGTGTGTGTGTGTGTGTGTGTGTGTGTGTGTGTCCAGGAGTGTGAAATTCCTGTTATTGTCTAATTTAGTCCTCTTTTCACTGCATGTTTATCTCTGTGTTCAGTAGAAACAGGGAGTGACTGATACTTGAATTTCAGTGTCCAGCTCAGCATTTGAGATCAGCATTTCCTCCACATAGGCCTTCTAGCATAGGCCCCCAGAATGCCCCCCAGAAGGACAGCCTCACTCTCAACATACCTCCCCGTCACTTTTCTTACTCTGTCTCTTTCATGGTCTATTCCAGGCAGTTACTTCTCCTGATCTTACCTGGAGTCCCTAAGCTTGTTTTCACTTTCTAGAGATCATGGGGATGGACAGTAAGGATGGACTTTGATCTGACTTCTTACTCAACACGATTCATCCTGAATGACACCAGAGTGCTTTTTATCCAGCCATCCCTGCTTCTCTGGTGACTGACATGCTAACAGGGCAATGAATAAAACATTTTTTTATCTGTTAAATTGGTGATTCAAATCAACTGGGCTCCAGTTTCCAGCATTGTAGATAAACTAGCTGAGCTTTGGGATGTCATTAGAGAACAGTGTTGGTCTCACTCTTTAGCAACATGAGCAAAGCAGACCAGAATGTGGGTCAGCTCATGGAATTCTGCACAGGACAGAAGCTGAGGATTAATGGTATTACTGAGAAACTCCAACTTAACAAGATTCAGATACTCAGATCATGGTATAAATGTTGCAGCATAAAGTGGCAATTGGAAGCAAATTCTGCTGCAAGAGAGAGATTCAAAGGGAAGAATCTGGAAGATTTCATCCACAGAAGGCAGCATTGCTCACCGTTAGTCCAAGGTCCCCTGCAATGAAGAGCAGCAAACTTAAAATGTAATTTTAAAAAAAGAGAGAAGAGATATGAGAGTGTAGAGGCAACATGGGAAGTCAGAGTTTCTGCCTTGGGACCCCAAAATGTAAACGAGAAAAACAGGAGTATATGAACATTTCAGCAATAAACATCTGAAAAAGAATTAACTTGATGGTAAGCACCTAACCACACTTCTAGGAATCTAAGACAAGCCCAAGCAAGTTTCTCTCTCTCTCTCTCTCTCTCTCTCTCTCTCTCTCTCTCTCTCTCTCTCTCTCTCTCTCTCTCTCTCTCTCTCTCTCCTGCCCTGGCCTTGGGTTTTCCCTCACTCAATTACCAGGACTATGAGCCTAAAAGTTTCAAATGTACACCCAGATAAAATTTTACCCTAAACTTCTTATTTTACTTTTTATCCCTGTTCTACCTGTCCCACGAGATTTCAAATAAACTGCAGACTGTGCCCTCAACTAGTCAGTGCCAGGTGTTCCCTCAAAATCTGCATCCTGGGCCAACTTCAAAGTGACTATCTCCAGGTGGCCCTGCCTCACAAATTGCTCCAGCTGCTTCCTATATGTCCCTAGAAGTTTCCTTAGAGCCTGGTCAGGTAATAAAAAAGCCTGCTTTTTCTGGACTGGGCCATCATTCCAGCCTCTTTTGGCCCTACCCAACAATAATGCCTCAATGTCAACAGGAAGTAGTCATAGAGAAGATTACACATTGCTCCTTATCATTTATTTATTATCAACAAAAAGGCTGGGATGTTAAGTTTCAAACCTGTGACAAATGGCTGACATGCCTATTTAAAATATTAAAGCAGAAACTGGCCACCAGATTCTCCCTACATCCCTCAGTCCACACCTGTTACAGGGCTCTCCTGGCTGGCACCCAAAGCCTGGGCTTCTCTCCCCCAGCTGCTCTTCTGTATATAATCCAACTGTTTTATTATTTTATCATACTTTATTTTGTTTATTTAAATGTTTTTTTTTCATTTTACATACCAACAACAGTTCCCCCTACCTCCCCTCTTCTTGTTTACCCCACCTTCCCCCATCCCCCATCCACTCCTCAGAGAGGGTAAGGCCTCCCATGGGGAGTCAACAAAGTCTGGCATATCAAGTCCAGACAGGACCAAGCCCCTCTCCCATATATCTAGCCTGAGCAAGTTATCCCTCCATAGGGGTGCTCTAGGGATAAGTTGTGGTCCCACTGCCAGGGGCCCCACCAACTGCCCAAGCCACACAGCTGTCATCCACATTCAGAGGGCCTAGTTCAGTCCCATGCAGGTTCCCCAGCTGTCAGTCCTTGTGTCAGCTGTCTGTAGGCTTTCCCCTCATGATCTTGACCCCTTTGCTCATATAATTCCTCTTCCCTCTCTTTGACTGGACTCTAGGAACTCCACTCAGTGCTTGGCTGTAGATCTCTGCATCTGCTTCTATCAGTTACTGGATGAAGGTTCTATGATGACAATTAGGGTAGCCATTGATCTGATTGCAGGGGAAGGCCAGTTCAGGGACCCTCTTCACTATTGGTTGGAGTCTTAGCTGGGGTCATCCTTGTGGATTTCTGAGGATTTCCCTAGCACCAGGTTTCTCCTTAACCACATAATGGCCCCCTCTAAACAGATACCTCTTTCCTTTCTCTCCCTCTCTGTCCCTCCCCCAACTCGACCATCCTGTTCCCTCATGTTCCCTTGCCACCTCCTCTTACCACCTCTTCCTAACCCACACACTCCCGATTAACTCAGGAGAACTTATCCATTTCCCCTTTGTCGGGGGTCCCATGCATGTCTTTCTTAGGACCCTCCTTGCAACCTAGCTTCTCTGTGTTTGTGGACTGTAGCCTGGTTATCTTTTGCTTTATGTTTAATATCCTTTTATGAATGAGTACCTACTATATTTGTCTTTCTGGATCTGGGTTAGCTCAACTCAGGAATTTTTTTTTCTGGTTCCATCCATTTGCCTGCAAATTTCATGATGTCATTATATTTTACAGTTGAGTGATTCTCCACTTTGTAAATGTACCACATTAATCCAACTATTTTAGTTACCTGGTCCTTTTCATCTCTCTTTTGGGCCTCTTGGCTGCTTCATCTTTTTCCACCCTCTCCTCTCTCCTTCTCCCTCCCCCTAATCCTCAAGTGAGTCCCTTTTGGACTCTCCCAGAAGCTCCTGACTCTGGCTATGCTCTCCCACTTATTTATAATAAACTTTCTCCTCCACCTTAACTGGGGTCAGTCATGTCCCTTTAATTTTTGTTTCTTCTTTTTTTCATTCACTAACAACCTTCCCCAAGTTCCCACAGAGTTAGAGCCTAGGCCTCAGCTGAGTTAAAGTAAGTGGCTCACATCTGTTCAGAACAAAGTCTGGAAGTAAGATGAACGAAGTGGAATGGGAGGTGTGATGACGAAAGTTATAAGTAACTGAATCAGCTAGAAATACAATCGGGTCATATCTGTGCATAGTTCTCGGGGAAAGCAGAAAGACTTGAGACCTGTTAGGGATGTGGGTCACTGAGTGCGGCCTCACCTCCCTCATGATACCACTAATTCCAAACATAATCGGAATACCAGTGAGGCTTTGCCCTGAATCTCTTGAGGGAAAAATCATCAAAAACACTGCAGCTCTTCCTTAGTATTTGGTCCTTTGATCTCACCAGAGTAATTTCTGCTATCAGAGTTGATTTTTTTTTTTTACATCATAATACATGTTAGACTGTGTAGTGCATATATTTTATATTGAGGTAAAACAGGAATCTGTTATCATAGAATTCACATTTCATATAAATGGAGAGCATTCTAAGAAGTCAGTATATGGGGTGACAGCTGTGACCACAAAAACCAGAATTCACTTATGTCTGAACCTGTTTGTTCCTGCAAGGTCCCTTTTCTTCATGTGCTCTCTGCGCCCCCTGCTGGTTCTGAGCACTGCTGCAGGGAGGTTTGTGTCAGGGTTCACACTGAAGGTCCCTCACTGTGTCTGTAGCACAGTAATAAATGGCAGTGTCTTCGGCTTTTAAGCTGTCCATTTGCAGGTAGAGGCTGCTTTTGGAATCGTCTCTTGAGATGGTGAATCTGCCTTTCACAGACTCCGCATAGGATGTTGCATAATTATTTGATTTGAGTTTAATTACACCAACCCACTCCAAGCCCTTCCCTGGAGCCTGACGGACCCAGTGCATCCAGTAGTTACTAAAAGTGAATCCAGAAGCTGCACAGGAGAGTTTCAGGGACTTTCCAGGCTGCACCAAGCCTCCCCCAGACTCCACCAGCTGCACCTCACACTGGACACCTGAAAAGACAGAGAATCCTGTCAGTAAACACTCACAAATGTCCACTGTCCCTCTCACTCAAGTCCACTCTCTCACACACACACAGTGTTTCTCCTTATCTATAAATTACCATTTAAAAGGGCAATAAGTAAAACCCAGATCAGTCCCAACTCCATGTTGGATGTTCTGTGTTCAGTAATCATCACTGAATTGGAGGACCTGTGAGTACAGAGCTGGGTGCCTCTGTCGAAGCTGTAGGGTCCTGGGCTGCTTTTCATGAGCAGAGGGAAACATAATTTGCATGTGTTCCTGATATATCATGAGCTCAG